TCTTCCCAGCCAGGCCAGACACACACACCTTCAGGCCTCCTGAGCAGTGGTTTCTTTGTGGTTTTGTCTTTAAATGGGCCAGGTGGTGGCCAGGTTCTATGTGACATTAGAGGGGTTTCTCCTGCCAGGATCAGTGGCCAATGGGTGGAAATTAGCAGCGTGAAGCCCTGGTTTGGTACCTCTGGCAGTGTACGTGGCTGGCGGTATAATGGAGGCCATGTGGGATTAGACATGGGGCAGCTTGTGCTGTGGGAAGCAGAAAGGTGCTGTCAGTTTGTCTGTGGTTTCCTTTCTGAGAATGAGTCTTAACCATTGAGAGGGGAGATAGAACAGTGTGAAGCCATGAATAAGATTGGCCCTTGGGGTAAAGGGAGGGGGAGGACCTTGAATTCTTCCCTCTGCTGATTCTGTGAGAGCGAGACTTCTGGGCTAGGGCACAGGCCATGGGAGTCAGTGGTTATGCTGTTTGCCTCTCCCTTTGGCTGCAGTGGCCGTGCAGTTCTTTGGGAGCGTGCCCCTGTCCATGACTGTTGGAAGGTTCTCCTCTGGCGGTACCTGTCCGGTTGGCTGTGGAGACCCCTGGAGTGGTGCCTCCTGGAGATGCGTATAGATCCCTGCCAACCTGCCGCGTGCTCAGTTCCTTCTTACTGCCGGCGCTGGTGTTGGAGCAGCTCGCTCCTCGTACTGCAGATGTCTAGCAGCCTTTCTCCGCAGCTGTAACAGTTACGGTTCAGTCTGTTATTAGCTGAATGATAGTAGCTGGGGGATCTCCTCCATTTTCATTTCCTGGGCCATTTCTTTAAGCCCTGTGGGAAAGGCCTGAAGCCTGTGCCAGATGGCGAGCCACATGACTCCTACCTCAGCTGCCTTGGGGAGGGTTATCAGATGGGCACATGCGAGATTTGCGGGGCTTTAAGCCCAGAAGAAGAAGGAAAGAGTCTCTCCCCTGAAGCGTCCCCAGCGGCCCTGCAGCCTTGGTGAGCAGAGCACAGCATCAGTGTGTGAGCCCTCAGCACCATGCAAAGGCACCAGTAAGGAGCATTGGCCCAGCAGCGGCTCACGATCGCCGGTGCCACATAAGATGGTGGACAGTAGTCCCTTACCAGCATGGCCTCCCAGCGACGTGCGTCCTGTGTCGGGACATCCCAAGCAAAGCCCAAAAGTCCCACAGTTGCCAACTCTGTTGACTCAGGTGTGGGTGGACTCTAGAGTGCTGGAGGACTTGCAGGGAGAAGACCTGGACCTTCCCGCCATGCTGGACACATTTGAAGCGGCATGGGAGCTGATCTTCATGATGGCTCATTCCCACACCTG